AGTATAGGTTAGTATAGGTTATAGTATAGGTAAATGTTATACTATCTTGTAAAAAAACTAGACGTGATAGAGACAAACTAATTTCAGATTTGAATTTTGCGCATTAAGATCTATAAGGATCAGGTATTATTATAGAAACAACAAAAATAACAAAATATTTTGCAGGACGGTGGAATTAAAACATTATAGTATAAAAATTGTAATTTTGTAATTATTATAAATTACTTATTACGATACATTTTCATTTTAAGGTTTAAATTAGTTAAATTTACTTTTATTTTTAGTCTTATTTAATTAGAAAATCAAGATGAACTGATAAACAATTAAACAATGTATTACTTTTTTATATTTTTACTTTCCTTCATCTTATTCATTATAGTAATTGTTCTTTACAAGTTCAAAATCTGAAAAAAAAAGTTCTTCTGAAACTGAAAAAAATATTTCATACAACACACAATTGGTCTTTTTTTGACTGTAGTTATTTATGATACTGTGTCTGTGCTGATGTGCTTTAAATTAATTAATTCAAACGTTACAATTTAATATATATTTTTTAATGACTTTTAACTATAATATTAATATTAATTAATATTTGTTTTGTGTTAACACGGCATACTCCGTACTTTCACCTACGAAAAGGCCCATCATTTTTATTAACCTCGGGTTTCAAATTTCTTAGATCTAGCACCGAATATATGATAAGGAGCTTCAACACCTAAGCACATTTAAGCCGAGCATCGAAAGTCAATAACTCACGCTCAATATAAATCAGAATCACGTTTTATCGGTTTAAATTAATCCTCTTTACAGTCCACATGTGCATTAAACGTCAACGATTTGAAGTAAGCTCGGCCGCATATGTTCAGATGTGTATGTGGTCGTTTTTTGACTGAGTTTAATATGTATTAATAATTATATAAATTTTCGGTAAACTTTATCTTTAAGACATAATTTTATAATATGTATTTATAACAGATAACCAAGTTGAGAACTTTAAATATTTAGGATCATTTGTACAAAAGGGTCGGGTTTGGCATGGATGTAAAACATCGGATAAGTGCGGTTGGATAAAATGGTTAAAAGCGTTGGGCGTTTTATGCGATAAAAAAATTCCAATGTGCCTGAAAAGTAAATTTTACAGGAGTATAATGAGGCCAACTATACTATATGGTTCAGAGTGTTGGGTAATTGACAAGAGAATAGAACAGAGTATGAGTGTTGCGGAAATGAGAATGCTTAGATGAACGAGTGGAGTGACAAAAGAAGTTAAAATAAGGAACGAATATGTAAGGGGTGGTAATAGTGTAGCATCGATATTAGATAAGATGAGAGAATATAGAGTTGGTTTGGGCATGCGATAAGGCGAGACGAAACAGAAATAGTAAGAGTGGTTATGAAAATGAACGCTAAAGAAAAAAACAGAAAAGGAAGAACAAAAATGAGATGGTTGGATACGATTGAGAATGATTTGAGGACTATTGGTGTGTGCGTAGAATATGTAAAAAATCGAGACGAGTGGAGGATTAGGACAATGGTGGCCTACCCAAATAGTTGTGAGAAAGTGAAGATCGTAGTGGCTAAATTTCCACTTAAGAATGTTCAAAAAATTGTAGTATGTTCACTTACTTATAATACTATATGTTTGCTTCCGGCTAGGTAAATATCAAAAATATTATTCAATAGTTGTATGGAGTTTTCAACGACTTGCAAGATTTAACACTAAGTCAACGTTCAAAATCAATAACGTTGGCATGATGAAATTTGTATATTGTATTCAAAGTGCTATTCAAGGCATATTAGTTTAGAATGAATTTTGGCCAACATACTCGCAATAGCTTTGCAAATGATTTATATTTACTAATTATAAATTATATCAATAACTCTACTTTAATTTATTTATACAGTTATACCTTGTTCTTTTGCTATAAAATCTAACATAATATTAACATAGCAAATTTTATCTTTTTCAATACTAGTATTAAAGACAATATATATATATATATATATAATAGTATAAACGATATATTAAACACATATGTTTTTGCATAAAAGATTCAGTTTTTACGTTCCTATTTATCATTAACCTAAGACTGATATTTAAAATTGAAAGTGAACTATTCAAAATTATATTTATTTTAATTTTGAATTATTTGCATCTTTTTTTATTTATTTTTTTAATATCACTACAGGAAATTGTGCATGTATTAACAAAACAGATACGAATAATGATATTTATTTGTTAACGCTTTTATTTATTGATATAGCATATATTTTATAGTGAATGTAATTTTTCTTTTCCCGAAATAAATGATTAATTATAATAATTAATATTTTATAGACATAAATTAAATAATTATTCTAATAAGCAATGTTCAATATTAATAATTTTAAAATATTATTTCGCTAAGTTATATTATATTATATGATTCGTATATTACATACACTGAGAAAAAAGTATCTCATTTTTAAAGAAAAATAGCTATAATTTTGATAGAAAATGGATATGATCTTGATCCTTAATGTTTTCATAAAAATGTAAACATTTTTTTAATTAAAAGAAAAAAAAGAAATCTTAATTAATAGTATTCCAAATATAATATAACTTTTTATGCTTTTATTTAAATTTATGATATTTCTCCTACAATTTAAATAAAACGAATAATAAATATAATTAAAATATAAATAAAGGTATGATAAATGATTAAACATAAAATACAAACAATTTTACACTCTTAACATTTAAAAGTATTGTAATCTTATAACGTTTGAATGATGAATACAATTAGGAAAATCGTATAAATAAATTGGAGGTCCTTTAAATTAATTTACAGTTTTTAAAACATATTATTCTCTTTTAACTTTGTTATATATAAAAATATTACTAAAGACCATGACTTTATTAAAAAAGCATGTATTATAATTAAATTTTTATTACGATATAAATCACTGATTTATTCAACATATTTAGATGAACTAATTGAAGATGCAATTCATCAATAATTGGTTTAAAAACAGTATATGTGTTTCTACAATACTTATTATTCTGATTATTTTGTTTTTCACAAATAATAACTATTTTTATTATTATCTTATTAGCTTATCAAATAAAATTGCAATATTGAACTCATTAAAATGAGTGCGATAATTTTATTTAATTTTAGTTAAATATATATATATATACTACTTTGTACATCGTTTGACCTGTCGCTACGACCGCCTTGCAGTGTGTATAAATGACCAAGGCTCAAGCCAAACCGTTACCATTCACTGCCTTCTCGGTGTCGTAGCAAGACCTTACAGGACTGACTTGCATGACACAAAAAGTTGTTTCTTTATTCCAGGCTTAGCGTGATGTATACATCGAACAGTGGTATAATAGTTTGAGTATTCCGGGATCGCATTGCTTGCTTGCGCCATACGTCTATGTCCTGTCTTTCCCATAACCACGTCAACGGCTATGCATTAATTTATATATTGTTATTTCTAGCATTTAAAAAATATATATATATTTATATATATCTCGATAAATCACTCTTTGTACCATTTCATTTTGAACCTCATGACAATATGTGTTGATATCAAAGTTGAAGATGAGTTCAGAGAAATGAACGAAAAATGACAAGGTAGAAATAGTTGTATAACCTTGTCATTTTTCGTGTAAAATATACGTGTACGATTGAAAATAATTTGACGTTACACATCGTGTAACATTAAATATATTTAACTGGTTTGAATGCGTGCACTTTTAAAACGATTATTGTAATCGTATTCGGTTTTCGGCATGCATATGATACCTTCGGCGTACACATAACGCGTGAACGCGAGACGCCATTTCTTTGGATTCGTCCCTGTTTGTCGGGGCCGACTGCACATGACCTTACGTTCTATTTTTCTGCATTTCCGATGACCAGTCAGACGGTAGCGCAGCACGTAGACATGTGTAACGCGTTCGTACACGTATCGGTTCTACTAGCCCTACAAGCGATTGATCTTTCTATAAAATTTACCATCACTGGATAAAACAAGTTCGTTGTGGACACGATGAATTTCTCGCTTAAGTACTAACACATTTCGAACTTTGTTCTGATAAACTCGTGATTTTGTGTATCCACATAAGAAAAAATCACACGACGTGGAGTCGCAAGATCGAGCTTTGGCCACGCAACGAAATTAGTCTGCCCGGGAACTTCTCACGCAGCGGAGGGATTGTTTTTCTTGAAGTGTAACAAGTCTTATTGTAACCATACAAAATTACCTACTGAGCTCAGTAATTTTTTTCGGCCTTATTTGGACCAAATGAACATCAAAAATGTTTAATATCAATTTGTCGCACTTCAAAAGCTTGTATAAGGCAACACCTCTGAGTATGAATATTATTACCATTATTATATTGTACACATTGTACTGTTATTTATTATCATGAAATATGATTCCTACATAAAGACGTACACACAATATTCAAAAGGTAGCACACATTTATAAGTATTACGGTACATCTGTACGGCTGTAAATATATATGTTAAAAATATTAATCCTTCGTCTGTACACTTATTTTTTGGGACGTTGTTTGAACACTGGGTCATAAATAGTACAAAAAACACTTAGGAAAAATCTGAAAATATTTACATTTACTGAGGGTTGTTCTTTAAGATCCTGAAGTTTGTTTTACGATTAATTGCATTAGTCATATTGTAAAAGTGACGAAATTGTGAAAAAAAAAAATTCATTCTCGAAATTTCGGTCGTGTCATAAAAAACTTAGTGTACAGACGAAGGGTTGGATAAATCCGTGATAAAATTGAGGGGGCGGGGTGGTCATCACGTGGTCCCCTACCCGTAAATCCGTCCCTGCGACGTCGCGTCGTGCGCGCGCGTACGAAACGTTACGTTGCCCGCGCGGTGAACGATACGCGCACGATTCGTCGTCGGAGCTGCCCCGCGCGGACATCCGCCGTATCCAGGTCGCGGTTCTCCCACCGGAGAGCCAAAGACGTCCGCCGCCGATCGGACCGCGCGCGGGCAGTGCGTTTGCGAACGCGATCAACAGCAGTCGACGGTCCGCGCGGACGACGTGATGTCGTTGATGGTCAGACACACGATAACCGTTGCAGGCACTTGGTACAAATAGTCCGGTAGTTCGATCACGTTTACGCGGTAAATTTTTTTCGTTTTCTATTCTCTCTCTCTCTTTCCGCCAATCGTTTCGATTCCGTACCGTTCGTGTACGTCGAATTCGGATATATTTTCACTAGTAACTGCACGCGCGCGTGTTTTATAGACGTCTCCGAGTTCGTGCGTTCGATTGTCGTCATTATTATTACTATTATTATTATTATTATTATCGTCGTCGTCGAATTACTATCCTCCTTGTGATTTCCCCGAGTTCTGCATTGGGTCTCCAGGACATCCGCCGCTGTTGTTTTCGAGATACCCGGTTTTCGGTTTTCCGTCGAGGATCGTACGTCCGGTCGAGATAAATCTTTTCGAGCGCTCGTACACACGTTTGCATTCGTCCACCGAGCGATCGGTGTCGATACACGCCAAGTCCGTGCAATTATGTTGATATACCCGACGGCGGGCAGCGGGGCGATCAGTAGCCGAATGAACGCGTCGGGTGGCGGACAGAAAGGCGGCAGGGCCGCGGCAAAGGGCGCCGTGCAGCGCAAGGCTGAAGCCAACAAGACCAAGAGCAAGCAGACGGTGCTGTGGAAGCACACGGACATTGAACAGGGAGTGGTTGTGGTCGACGAGAAACAGCTCATGCGGCTGGTCAAGACAGAGCCCATCGAAAATTACTACCGTCTGGACAACGAACCGTTCGCCAAGTGAGTTTTTCACAACGATAATATTTAAATAGATACTTTTATTGAAATACGATCCGTAAATGTAACCATTAGATGTTACCGTTTACTGCAAAACATCAATAGACGTATTATGATGTGTCCTACAACAATGTTGTACGGTTTTGTAATTTAAAAGTTTCCCATTGACGCATGCAATCTAAGTTTCCTGATTGTGACGAAGAAACATTCAATTAGTTTATTTGAACTTACATTTATAATTCATTAAACTCCTATTAACAGAATAATCCCAATAATTATCATCACCTTGTAGATAATTATCATCCCTTTACTAGATTTTATTTAGTTTCTACAATATTTCAAGATTTTAATTATGGTTAAAAGTCGACTAATTTTAACTAGTCACGACTAATTTTAAGTAATTTTTTGTTTAAAATTTTAATATTATACATCTTTTACATATATATATATTATATAAATGGGGTACACTATTCATTTTAATTTATTGTAATAAAAAATAGCTGAAGTATTGCTTGAAATTTGTACAATATTATTATAAATTTAATTTACTTTTATTGCACAGGGTTTTATGATAAATAGTTTGAAAGTAACACAACGACATATCTGCATAATACATATGATTGAATACTTTCAGTTTTCCTTGATTTTTTAACCATTATTATTATTATTTTTTTTTTTTAATTGCGATCATAATTGAATAGGATAATTAAACATTCAAATACCTATGATAATTATAGCGTATTAACAAGACGTTTTAATAATTTTATGTTTTGAAATGTTAAAGTTGTTTTGTATTCAAAATATGAGTACATGAGTACATAATTTAAACATTTATATTTATAATATATATTTACGATAACGATTACTGATGTCTTGTTAAGATATATTAAAATGGTAATTGGACATTATTATTCCATTTTTAATACTTGATGTTAATTTTTAATCGCAAACAAATTTGCATGAGCATTATGGGTATTAATTTTTTTTAGTTTCTGAAAAAGATCAGTGAAGTTATTGCAGTAGGTTTAACAATGTATTTTTTTTCAACTTCACGTTCTGGCCGTAGTGTAAATTTCACAATTATATTCGTTACTATCCGTGTTTACCACCTGAAAAAAATATGTACTTGTATTCTTGTTTTTATCAAAGAACTCAAATGTTTATAATTTTTTTCTTTTTGTTATTTTTTATCGACATTTTATTATTATATACTCCGCTGGACTAATTGTTTGTTATGGGATTCGAACGCTGCTTTTTTTCTGTTTTTTTCTCTTTCTTGCCTTCCGTCCGTGTCGGACACACGACTGACATGCCGAGGACGAAACCCTCAATACTTTATTGCGAACACGTAGCAGGCCAGTATAGTTATGTATGCACGGCTCGATCTCGGCGGCAGATCCATCCATCGTCGCTACCTCTTTGGTAATTAACGAAAAACAAGTATACCGGATTATTATGTGCAAGGATGAAATATATATCGTAGTGTAATGTTTATATATATAATGAGTACACGCACGCGCGTACTTGAATACACAACGACCTTGGCTTTTCCTGCCTCGTGCCACGCGAAACCAGGGATTCACCCCGGTGACCATCATGCGTCGAATTAATTTTACGTTATATAAGTGATTTTTAATTAATATAGCTAAATATTAAACCGTTAACCTTTTTTTTTATTATATGATATTTATGAAGAAAAAAATTCTTTTCACGATACAATTTAGTTTTACTCACCTTTTTGTAATAATATGAACATACATTTTCTTAAAAATACAATAATTGATTTTAATTTTTAAATATATCCTTTTTACTTACATTATTGTTACGGGTACAATTATGAGTAATTAAAATTAGTTATTTTATTGGGTTTAAAACCGAATTAAATGAGCGAAACTTTTTGTTTTTGTTTCATATTTCGTTAAAAGTTAAGCATTAAGTTAAACTGAATTTTCACTAATCATAGGTATCTAACGTTGATTTGTGGATCCATATAAGTCTAAAAACCATTTATTGAGAAAGGTTGCATTGTATTATTCGCACAGCATGTAATTCCAATGATTTTACGGATGTCGGTCCAAATTCGGTTGTTATCCCCAGTGGCTTGCGGTGGCGCGCATACATGTCAATGTCCTTACCGACGTCTATAGAAGTCTATGGAACGGTCGGGCTAATCGATCTTGACGGAAAACACCTCGCTCAGAACTACACGTAATGATAGTATACGTCACTTGGTCGCCGTCGAATTTGGATTACAGAGGAATCGTCATTAATTTAATTAGAGCATCCGATTTTATTGTTTCGGACCTCACCTCAACGCATGCTTATGAATCAGCATACGTATATATGCTGTATATTTACCTCGGGGTGCAACGGTGTAATAGGAAGTGAAGTCTATATGTGGCGAGGAGAAAAAGAAATTAAATTAAAAAAAAAAAAAAACTCCCCGGAGCAATGTCGTCGAGTGTAATCATAATATATTTATAATAATCGTATTATGATAATTGTAATCATTACTACTATTATATTATTATGTACCAGTTCCTGGAAAACGCTACTACGGTTCGTCCTTGCAATGAAAACCCGATTCACCTCGTTATGACCGCAAGACAGTTTATCGCAAAAACAAAACGAGAGCATCGAATAGTATAATATAATGACCGCACGATGAATATTATCGCTAGGACATTACTACGCACAAGAATATAATGTATACGTATCGAATAGCATAACATATTATGTATATATCAGTTATCTATTCTAGTATGGACGCGCAATACCCTCGAGCGCACGTGTGCGGAAGCTGTACCGTGGCAATGCGTGGTGTATTGATAGAACATGGGTCTGAAAGTCTAAAAGTAGGGAACCAAGATTTATTGGAGGGGCGTGTACTTACATATACAAATATTGTCATGGCGTACACGACGATTATTTGTCCTTATTAGCCTTCAATGGCACATACTTGAGCATCATTACTGCAACAGAAGGATCTGATACAAAATGAAAAAATAACTAATCGGGATAACTCGATGTATAATTGATTCAAACGATTCCATGAGCGAACTTTAACCGTCATTATTATTGTTATTATTATTACTATTAATTTTATTTGTTCGTATCATTGAGCATTTCATACTGGATTCCGATAAATGTGCACTTCTTCCAGTGTTCCAAGAACAATATTCCATTTGATCCGAGCAACGACCACTATAATATTAATATATTAATAATATACCCACCCGTCGTCTCTACCACAAACTACGAACGCATTAGATATACGTATAATATACCTACACGGATGGAAATAAAATAACGTCTTGTATACTACTTGTAAATGTATAATATTTACGCCCTCGGCCGTTTATGTGAATAATAACAATATTGTTAAAACACGGCTAGGACGAGCAAATCAATCCTGACAGTTGTAATGTAGTGGCTAATGTCGTCGCACACACACGCATGTATATATATATATATATATATATGTATATATATATATATATATATATATATGTAAAATAATATACGTGGCACAGTGATCGTCCTACACGTTGTACCAATATAATCCAAACGGTTATATCTGTCCGTCGTACGTATTTTAAAGAGAAAACTTTTTTTTCCTTCGATGTTTAACATATTATCTTTCCGGGACGACGCTAACGGGTTTTTTCGTTCGTTTATTACATACGCAATTCGAGAGTTTCACGCGAGTTCGCGGTATATGTGCATGTGATGTGTATGCATGTGTTTTTGATCATCTCCTTGTGTGTTGGTAGTTTTAAGTTGAGGTATAAGACCAAAATCAATTTGTTAAGACCCGAGGCTCAATAGTGTTTATGGTTATCGCGTAAGGTTGGATTTATTTGTATACATTTGAAAGCAATCTGGTCAGCATTCCAATAATGATTTGGAAATGAATCGCACAAACATTTTATGAAAATATTAAAACGAATAATACGTAAAATATTTAAATATAACCAACAACGATGCACCGAGCATGGAAAAATTCCAATATACCACCAAATTAAACGCTTACATTATGTTTGGTTGAAATATTACTGTTAACTAAAATATCAAAAACAAATAAAAATAATCGTCAACGTTTGTGAAATGACAATCGATTATAAATTTATAGAAATTTAAAAAAAGTGTACTACAAGTCTTTATGAGGAAAAAAATATCGCTGTCAAAGCTTTCAATTTTACCGAAGGATAAAAAATCTTTTACGTTCATAACTTTACATAAAACATAAGATTACTATAGTTAATATCGTTCTACACAAAATTGAATAAAACGACGAGACTCGGTTGGACCAAATTAAAATTTATATTTTCGTTAATACAAGAAAAATTTCTAGTAAAATCTCAGTCTGATTTTCGTCATCTTCACATACACGACCTTCTGTTACACGTAAATTAGGTTTTCCACGAGGAATGCAGCGTAGCGTCGAGATATCGCAGATATGATTATATTATAATATATTCATCGATTGGCGCTCGTGTGGATTGTTTTATTTTATTTTTGTTCGCGCGTGCCGCGAATCGCGTACAAACAGGCGCGCGTGATCGTTAACGCTAATGGGGACGTCGACCAATGACTCTCGTGTTTTTCTTGCTGTTCCCGTACACATTGTCCTGTACACGGTTGACAATTTACTATAAAACAACAGTACACCATGTGTCGCGTACAACTAAGGAATACGAAGAAATTATCGAAATTCGTGTTGGGCGACAAATCTTAATGGAAAAATCGATTCACCGGTGGTAATGTTGAATCGGGCTGACGCTAGAACAAAAACAAACGTGTATACGTGGAAATCATCGAGGAAATCGTATAAATCATAAAATCTGCAGTGCATCGACGGCGTAATCCAATATATCGTTGTGTATCACGATTTATGACGTTTGTAAAATAATACATAGGTACGCCGAACGCGTTCCCACATTCGTTTTCCGACAAACTACCCGACACTACTGATGCATTATATACCCGGATTCGTGTGCATG